CAGGCCACAGTACAAATTTTCATTCCACCTTCAATCATCACCCAGTAGAAGCATTACTAACCTGCCAAATCACACACATGCTATCTCACACAGTCAAATAATAATCAATATCAAACTTCTCCTCTCTAATTCACTTACACTTCGATTGGGATGACAAGTCCTGACTACGGCAGCCACTGTCAGTACGATTGAGCGGTAGTAACGCGTCATGAATTCATATGGTAGTCAGGCAAAACCACGCTTGTGATTCAAGTCAAATAAAAATCTCGTCAGCAGTCGGACCTTACAGCTAGCTAGCTCAGTTGGCAGGGCATCGGGTTGGAAATCCAGTGGTCGCTGGTTCGAACCCGGCCGCGGTCCGAATTCTTATTTCACACTCAATCATTACGCAGTATCAGTACTACTAGTTTGCCAAACCCCAAAGGTTGCTACCTTAGATATTCAAATAAAAATTATACATTAAAAACCACCGCTATGATAAGTTTCCAGTATGGAAGGAGTTCGATGAGTGGGGGGGGGATGCTGAATGGGGAAGGAACTCAATAAACTAAAAAGTCGGATATCTCACGATACTCATTCTTTGTCACTGTCTTGGTTTCTGGTAAACAGCAGGAGACTATGGGAAATCAAGAAGACATGAACTCCCAAATCACCAGTTACAAGAAAGTCAATTTTGAGAGAGTAAACACTAGGAGTCAATATCTTGTGGATACTCATAGTAGCATGATAGAAGAAGGAGAGAAATAGATAGGTAAAAATGTAGTCGAAACTCGTAGGAAGTTGTATGATGAAGATACAGAGTCTTATGTACGCTGTCAGGTATTATTATTTGTCCCTTAAGTTTCTAATGGAATATAGGGCTTCAGTAGCATGTCTTCATTCCACTCTGTTCTCTGCAAACTTTTGAACCTGGTTCCACGACAGCCAACAAGCTCTCATTTTCTCCTCTCACCATCTCCTCCATGTCACCCTCACATCCAACGCCCAACTCCCACTTTCCCATCTGAGTTCCACTCGAGTGACTGGTCTGGCGCGTCATGTCCACGCTCAACCTTCTCAGTGTATGTCCAATCCAATCCATCTCCACTTCCTTCCACTGCATATTTCTTCAGCGATAGGTTCTTGCTTCGTTGGTTCGTCACCAGCCAGAGTGAGTTTCCTGTTGCTTATTCTTATTATTCTGGCCATCTGAGCTTCAGTAACGAGCCAGCGTAGGCAGTTGTTGATGAATATCTGCAGTTTGTTGGAAATCCCTTTCGTTTCGCGCCAAGTCTCTGAACTATACACAAACACTGACTTGACGTTGGTGTTGGAAATCCGGATCTTGTTCCATATGCTCAGTTGAGTGCAGAAGATCTCCACACTGGTTTCAGGTTAATGAACGCCTGTCTTGCCTTTCCGATCCTCGCTTTGACGTCCTCATCTGTGCCGCCTGTAGTTGAAACGATGCTGACTAGATAGGTGAAAGAGGCTACTACACTGTCAGGTCATCATCATCATTATCAACATAGGACCAGGCATTACTGCGTAACGCTCCAACTTGCCACACCTCACGTCAGTTCATCAAGTAAAAAGGTAGTGAGGTGAAGGATGAAGATAAGTGAATGCAGTCAAAAGAAATATAAAGTACGAGAAGAAAGGAAAGAGGAGTGACAAAATGGTGAGATTCGGTATAGCGTTGTTAAGATGAGGATAATGTGTGTATACATCTGCGCCACTGACATCAGTTCTGAGCCATATCACCTAGGGTCTCCAACCACTGGTTCCTCTTCTCCCGTGGACCCCAACCACCTAGTCTGCATCATCCTACATGGCTTAAACCAACAGTCAGAGACTTCATGCATTGGTGCCATGCTTTAGTCTGGCCAACTCGGGCCTTTTTCCAGCCTGAACCCACCTCAGCCAACATTGTGTGACGAGGCAATCGGTGACTGGGCATACGTAGTACGTGTCCCAACCATCTCAGTCTATTAAGGTTCACAACCTCGTCAACTGACTTACCTCTTCTCCCTCCCTTAAACTGTACACCTGACTTCTGCATTACTCACGTGGTGTGGTGACACCACGGAATACGTCCCACACTACGAAGGCAACGGTGGTCAAACACTTGAAGCCGCCTTCTCATCTCTTCCACTTTCAATGGCCATGTTTCACAGCCATACAGTAGAACAGAGCGGACTGCTGTGCAGTACACGCGACCCTTAATAGACAAACGGATATCACGGCGGCGCCGCCGCTGTCAGGTAGCTGTAGAATATTTTCGATGCGATTCTCATCACCCAAATGTCTATTGTTGTCTTGTCTAACAACAAGAAATGAACTGACCATTTCATATACTCAAGAAGTCAGATCAGTAATAGTGACTGAGTGAAATCCCTGCACGGATACAGGAAGCCTTGATTGACTCCCATCAACTTCCACTATCTGTGGTATCCAACTACCTACCACCTTGGTGTTCGCTCCATCCAACTGCATGGCTGTGAAACATGACCATTAAAGGTAGAAGACACAAGAAGGTTTCAGGTGTTTGACCATCGCTGCCTTGGAAGCATAGGCCGTGTTTCATGGTATCACCATATGAGTAACACAAAAGTCAGGCGTAGAATTTTAGGCAGAAAAGTAAAGTCAGTTGGTGAGATTGTCAACTTTCATCAACTATAGGTGCCTTAGGAATATGTTGCGTATACTGAACCACACTATAGACCTACATCGATGTGCAATGCTACATGTTGGATTAGATTAGCACCAACGTATGAGGTCTCTGACTCTTTGTCAAGGACGTGTGGTGGGGTCACCTGAAAACTGGTGACAGTGGCGCAGATTTATCTACACGGTAAGTGATATACATTTAGTTACTTTATGACGTTTCCAGCATAGATTGTTCCTCATAAATGTTCAACATCTCTGGTATAGAGGTTCCCATTCATCCCCACTGATTACGTATGTTGGGAGATGACTCAACGAGTTAAGTACTGTGATTTTATTCTAGTCGATTGTGTGGTTGTGTGTTATTGTCCAAAGAATCCGATTAGCTAAGGTGATAGTGATATGAAAATCAGATATTGAAAATTGTGTGATTAGTTTCGTAGTGATAATGTGCAATAATTTGTGCTTGAAACGTTATCCAGTTAACGATACTGTCTGATAGACTGATTGACTGAAAAAATCCACTTCAAAGGAGTACACAAAGAACAGGTGGATAGAAAAGAATGATATGTAACTAATTAGGCAAGGAGTGAACCCACCTGCGCCACTGTCATCAAGGATCCTCAACTACTGACTCCACATCTGAACAGCTTACATCTCTTCACACAAATCAAGCCAACAGTGAAGGACTGGTGCCACGTCTTGATCTGACCACCATCAACCCTCTTCTAATCAAGTCCAACTTCCCCTTGGATGGCATTGCACGTCGAGATAGGCGGTGACTCTGCATACGCAGTACATATTCAAGCTATCTTAGTCGACTAAGTTTCACAAAAGCATCAATCGATTTACCTGTCTTGCCTAGTAACTTTCGTTTGACGTCAACATTGATCATATGGTGATTCCAGAACATGTGGTCAATCACTATGATGACATCGTGCTTTGATAGATAGTTGGATATCTCGCAAGTCGGAGACAAAGATGATACAAAGTTGTCAAATGTCAAACCGGCCTTCTGTATGCGAGCTGAGATTTCGTCAGCAACCAGGCCCAATTAAGTGAAATGGTCAATACATTTCACCATTTCACTCCCTAAAATTAAACTGGGAGTGGTTGCAAACCAGTCATGGAGCGTCATCTTACATTTGACAGGTCCCACACAGAAGCATACCAGCCAAACATACTCAGATTTCTGTTCAACAGCTGCGTTCAGAGGACCGTGGATTTTGTCAGCATCTTCATCTAGCAGAACAATACCGTCTGCATAGCCCAAATCAACCAGATGTCTATTAGCACGTCTAAAATGAAGTTAAATAGGAACGGGAGCAGCGGATATTCCTGGCGGACACTACTAGTTTTTCTCAACTTACTTGACAACTTCATTAACACTGACACAGCTATGTGATTTCGAGTAGAGAGCTTTCGTAAGCAATATATATACTTGCTGGGTACTGTCTTCACAGTCAGACATTGCCATAACACCGCACGGACGACAGAGTCAAGGAGTGTGGCAAGTGGTTGGTTACTAGAAAGTATCCCCGTATTCCAGAAGCCGTCCGTCGGGTGAAAGTGTGATCGATGCAACATCGTCTAGGTTTAACACCTGCCTGTTTTTCTGGAGCTCTAGTTAAGTATCTCATAACTGTGGACCCTAGGATCTTAGACATCAAGCTAATTCCCCTATGGTAACTACAAGAACATTTCTCCACGTTTTTATAGACTGGCATGATCAGTGAAGTACACCAGTTTGACGGCGTTACCTTGGATCACTATATACTACTTAGTACTCCCATTATGTTAGGTTCGATACAGCATTCTCAACTTCAAGGAGAGTTGGAGAACCGACATCTATGTCCGATTGAGGTTCACGCAAGATGTTGGTCAACTGAAGCGTTGCTAAGAACCAGTTAAACTGTACTTCAAAGTGTTCTACCCAATGTTTTACTCGGCTCTTCGGACAGGTTATCTGAGTCGCATCATTCACTGTGTGCTATACATCAACTAAAATCCAAAAATTTACTATTGATACTTGCAATTTCCCGTTCTCGACCTCTGTTGGAAGATAAGCTCCCACGCGGATGCCACAATACTCCTTGAATATTCACTATATCATAGTCTATTTCATGGCTAGCAGTGGATGGATAATGAGCTTGAATCACCAGTGAAAACAATACCACTCATTCGATTGGTCCATTTACATCTAAATGATGAGTCTCTGGTGGGGTGAAACGCACATCTTAAATTTCAATGCTAGAAAACATCAAATAGACTAAAATATAAGTTTTTAGAAAAAAGATAAACAGTAAAACAGGGGGGAGGGGAGTAAGAGGGGGTGGGAAAAAGAAACCACTCACTAGAAATGCATAATGACAAGCGACCAACCATTCACTTGATGCTTTGACCATTACATCACGTTCTTCCCAATAACCTGACTGGCTATGATCCAAGAGATGTTGTTTACTCATCAATTTTATAGCATAAACAAGTCGTGTACGTTTATGTCGAGCCAATTCTACTCGACCAAATCCCCCTTGTCCGATGACTTTGATTAATTCAAAATCACTGTATTTTGTTCGACGTGATTCAATAATTTTAGCCGCCTGACTGTATCTACAAGACATTTCAAAAAAAAGAAGGGGGAAACAGGTTACAGAGAAAATTTCGTACTTACACAATGGTGGATGATTAACACTAGGATGAATGTATGGCAGTGGAAACTGGCGGTAGCTAACAGAATGGAGTCAACACCTCATATTTTGTTCTATTTGGGATACCAGCATCGACACAATGGGTAATGGCTTTTTTCAGTAGGATGTGAACCCGAAAGATAAAGGTTAGTATGAATACATATGTGTTATAGTCATTAATTATCAGCCATATCACCAAATATCACGTATAGGACAGGTAACCATCAACCCTCTCTTAAACAAATCCAACTTCTCCTAACATGGAACGCTAGGGTAGATGGTAGTGATTTGGAATGCACAGTATATGTTCCAGCCATCTCATTCGATAGAGGTTCACAACCTCATTAATCGACTTGCCTATCTTGCCTAATACCCTTCATTTGACTTTAGTATTGCTCACACGATGATTTTACTAAACGCAGGCAATGTTAGGAAGATACCTACGGTCAAAAGTCAGTAATTATAGATATCCTTACGAGATCTCTCTCGTCACCTGACTGCACAGAGGTTGATGGAATCACGGGAGAATTTTCGTTAGACCTAGAATATGCAGATGATATATAGTCCTGTTGGGTGAAGACTCTGACAAGATGTAGAGTCTTCTGAACACTTTCAGTGGCAATTTGAGAATGTTTGGGATGCGTTTCTCACCACCCAAATGTAAATTGTTCCTCCAGGATTGGTCTTCAACGATGCCACGTCTAACAATAGAGAGTGAGATGGTTGAGTGTGTTCACGAACTTACGCCACCTGTGGCGCCGATGTGATATCCGATTGCCTATTAAGGGTCGCGTGTACTGAACGGCAGTCTGCTCTCTTCTACTGTAAGACTGTGAAACATAACCATTGAAGGTAGAAGAGATGAGAAGGCTTCAAGTGTTTGACCATCGTTGCCCTCGTCGTAGTATAGACCATATTCCATGGAATCATCACATGAGTAATGTAGACGTCAGGTGTAGAGTTTTAAAGAGAAGAGATAAATCATATGACACGGTTATGAACATTCATCGACTGAGATGGTTGGGACATGTACTACGTATGCTTAGTCACCGATTGCCTTGTCACACAATGTTGGCCGAAGTAGGCTCAGCCTGGAAAAAGGCCCGAGGTGGTCATACCATCAATGTATAAAGTCGCTGACTGTTGGTTTGAGTCATGTGAGGTAATACAGACTAGGTGGTTGGGGTCCTCGAGACAAGAGGAACCAGTGGTTGGAGACTCCAGGTGGTCACATGGATCAGAACCGATGTCAGCGGCGCAGATGTATCTCCACACACATTATCCTCATCTTAACGATGCTATGCCGAGTCTCACCATTTTCTCATTCTTCTTTTCTCTCTTTTAGTACATAACATTTCTTTTGACTGGATTTTATTTCCTTCTCCATCTTCCACTTCACTGCTCTTTTAGTTGAATTGATGTCATGATGTGTGGCAACTCGGACTGTTACGCAGTTATGCCTGGTCTGATGTTGATTTGAATGAATGAATGATCTTCTACTTTCAATGACCATATCTCACAATCGTATAATAACAGGAAAGAACAGACTACAGCAGCGCATCCCTTGATAGATAAATGAATATGCCAACAGTCAGCGCCACATACATGATGCAAGTTGGCAAATGTCAAACAGAAGCCAGGCTACATTTAAACATCATGTGATCATATATGCAGCTACTGTGTAAAAATCACCCAACACTATCCAGTATGTAAATCACAAAGTCAGTAGACTAAATTATAGATGAAATAGAATCTGTCTATCATCATTACTTATTCGTTTTAAGTAGAACCTATTGTTTTGGCTCAATTTTCAATTGATGACAATATTTGAGATTATCTTGAACTAGAAAACTGATATTATACACTGAGCGTAAGATGATTGAAGGTGTAATACAACCGTGAATTGCGTGACAACTTGGGATGATCCACCTATGTATGAGATGTTCTACGTTGACGGTTGTTGGCTACTGCTTCAACACCACGGTTTCAGTACCATAAACCTCTACCAACCTCATTTAACAACTATATGACGACGCTCCATGCCAAGTGATTCACAATGGTAAGCTCGGTGATGTCTTTGAAGTGAAGTGAAGAGACAGGAAGGAGTAAGACAAGGTTATCGCCTACTATCACCGATGGATCTCCCTGACTGTGGTCGACTGGACTCCACTGGATCATACAACAAACAAGTATGAGGAGCAAGAAGAGGGGGATACGCTGACTGGACCGATGAAAAGAACCTAGAATATTTAGATTTCACCACCGATAATGATTTACGTCTAGTATCTTGTCGCAAAAAATCGAACATCTACAGGTGAAAACTAACAAGTTGGCAGGAGAGGTGAGGTGAGGCAACGAAGACGGGACTACAGGTGAACGTAGAGAAGACAGAGGTCATGAAGATACCCAACCAACACCAACAACAACAAGCACCAGTCATCATGAACATGAGAAATATGAAAGAAGTTGTCTTTTTCATCTACCTAGGAGGCAGCATCGTTTCAACTACAGGCGGCACAGGCATAGATGAGGATGTCAAAGCCAGGACAGGAAAAGCAAGACAGACCTCCGTGCATTAAACTGAAATCAGTGTGGAGATCTACTGCACTCCACTGCACTCAGCATAAAGCCTGAACAAGATCAATATGAAACTTCTCCTCTCTAATTCACTTACACTTCGATTGGGATGACAAGTCTTGACTACGGCAGCCAATGTCAGTACGATCGAGCGGTAGTAACGCGTCATGAATTCATATGGTAGTCAGGCAAAACCACGCTTGTGATTCAAGTCAAATAAAAATCTCGTCAGCAGTCGGACCTTACAGCTAGCTAGCTAGCTCAGTTGGTAGAGCATCGGGTTGGAAATCCAGTGGTCGCTAGTTCGAACCCGACCGCGGTCCGAATTCTTATTTCACCTTCAATCATCACTCAGTATAAATACTAGTCTGTCAAATTACGGCTATCTCGGCTAGTCAAAATGATGATAATGTGCAGGTCACACCTGGAGTGCTGAGGTCGATCGTGAATCATATCGCCTGGTCTCCAACCTCCCAATCTTGACTGACATGGATCCCAACCACAAAGTTCATATTCGCCAACACGGTTCCAACTGGTATTCAGAGACTTCATAAAATAATTCTTCTAACGTATTTCCGTGGTAAAACTATTCAAGTTAAGATTGTGCGACGTGGAACACGGTGACTGGATATACGCCAAAAATATTTCCCAGCTAAATCGATGAAGGTTCACAACCTCCATTACTGACTTATCCTTGCCTAAAACTATACACTTGACTTCTACGTTAATTAAGTATTGGAACCATGAGATGTGAACTACACTCGACGTACACAACTCATCTGATATTTCCTCATAAGCTCTAATATGTCCACGGGTGTTTGGGTACTGGACCTTCAATAGGATAGTGTACTTATCCGGCGTCTCCTTCAGTGAGATACTGCCATAAGATCTGTCAATCGACGGAGTCTGATGTCAGCCACCTCCAGGTCAAAAAATACAATTGGTGTTGGACACCGGTAAATGTGCCAGAGTATTCTACAACCTACTGAGTAGTAAATATCTGGTCACTACACCCACGTCCAGGTAAGTATCCTTCCCGGTCTTTTCGGATTTCAACCTTCTAGGCTTTAATTCAGTTAAATGAAAACTATGACAAATCTTATTAAGCCGATAACCACAGTAGCATAGTAGTATAAAAAACGTTAATTATCTATCGAAGCTAGTTATCCAACGTAGAGATGCGGCTCACGAGTCTCGAGAGACAGAGAGATGCATTCAACAACAATGTACATATTCCATAGGTGAGACTGTATTCAAACTTGAGACGTACTGATTGAAAGGCAATCAGTTCGATTTGAGTTGAAATTCATTCAGACGCCGACATAATTAGTCATCAATAGGTATCCATTCACCATAGTGGAACTGAATGGTATATCTACTTTTAATAAAGCAATGTTACACTTGTAGACGCATTTCTTTACACAATACTTATATTTTAGACGTTGTATTGGTCATGGACTGACATCAGTTAGGGAACCATTGAAAATCTGGGAGCACTGGACAACTGTTTCATCCAACTAGTATGGGACTCCTCAGTAGTCAATCAGTCGGAAATGAAGTGGATGCTAACTGAAGACCTTGGGTGACAGTAGCGCTATATCGTGAATTGACAGAAATTGGAAATTGTGAACCACTGGAAACCGACTGACCCAGTGGGTGAATGGGTAACGCGTTCGCCGTGAAACCTGAAAGTCCCGGGTTCGACCCCTAGCCAGGTCGTGGGTGCGTACTTCTGAGGAGTCCCATACTAGGACGAAACAGCCGTCCAGTGCTCCCAGATTTCCAATGGTTCCCTAACTGATGTCATTCCATGATGAATACTACGTCTAAATTAAGATTCCCCATTCATCTCAAAAATACACAATACTTATATGACAGTAGTGAGGAAAACACGCAAACAGTACTGTAACATCAGGTCATCGATATAATTATGCTTTTGATACTACCAACGTATTCGTGATGATGTGGCTCACTTGCTTGAGTTTTAGACTTTCAAGCAAACAATGGATCATAAGCGGCCATACTAGAAATTAAGATAACATGACAACACAAAGAAGGTCATCCGATGAGTAGAAGAAGAAGCGGAAGAAGAAGAGGAGGAGGAAGAAGAAGAGGAGGACGAGGGGGAAGAAGAAGAGGAGAAGGAGGAGGAAGGATAAGAGGAGGAGGAAGAAGAAAAGGAGGAAGGAGAAGAGAAGAAGGAAAAGGGGAAAAGAGGAGGAAGAGGAGCAGGAGGAGGAGGGGGAGGAGGAGAAGGAGGAAGAAGAAACAGAAGAAGAAGAAGAAGGGGAGGAGGAAGAAGAAGAAGAATCGGGGTTTCAGCGAACAACGGTTAAAATCGACATA